CCTCAGCCGCCGAACAGCTAATGAATAACTCAGATAGTTCTCTGCTTCCTCTATGGAAGTACGGCATGCCATTGGAATTCAGGAGATCCTCAAAATATTCCTTCCACTCCCACCACACACATTTTTGCCTAAAAGCTGCTTCACCCCTCTGAGTTTTTTGACAGTTGTACAGAATTTCTCTTGTTCCAAACCACACTGAAATCCCATCCCACTGGTTCTTGCCTTGGTAGCCACTAAAACCACATTCTGCTTAGCCCATTGGTACTTGTAAGTTCTCTCAAGAGTCCCACAGGTTTGACCAATTTTGATAAGGCTTCTTAAGGATGGTGGCCAACTTTACCTGTGTTGTCCATAATCTAGTTTTTCGAGTTATATTGGGGAATATGAAGCATCCAGACTCCCTTGGAATGTTGCTGAAGTTTTGCAGGAGGTGAAGGTTTGCCTTTGCCAGACACTCCCATCACACCCTCACTATAATATTAGTGACACCGCATTATATCTATCAACTGTGCATAAGCACTCACTATGTAATTAACGAGTGCTCCAGCAACACTTAAAGTCATATGTTTGCATTTTGGTTGCACGTCACCAGCTGCTAATATCTCCTCCTTTGTAGACTACTTTTACTTGAAAGCATCTTTTTGCCTCAAGTGGTGAAAATTGTGTCAGAATAAATTTCATACATATTTTGCGAAGTAGTGCGCTTCAATTTGTGGAGTAAACTCCCTTTATAGGTATTAAATCATCATCAAAAGCTGACACACTGCTCTTGCTCTCAGACATGCCTGGGCTCGTCTCATTGTTGTGTTCACTAGGGGATGTAAATGCTGCTTCTTGCAATTTGACATTTTTATATCAGGTAAAAAATATATATACCCCACCAAAGAAACCTAAGAAGTCCCAATGCTCTACACTGGTTGTTGATCAGAACCAAAGTGAAGTCTTAATCTCGTTCACTTGAGAGAACCCCAGCCAACAGGCACTCTACCAGGACTACAGCTATACACAGCCCTATCACATACGGCTATCATAAAGTGAATTGAATATATTTACATTCATATGATGAAAAAGATATTAATCCTCCTTGTGAAATTCACGATCATTCCCAACCTTTTCACCCAAACCCAAGGCTGCTTTATGTGTGTGATCTAATATACAGATTATAAAAGGTTTTTAGATGATGATGAAATGTAGAGAGTGATTCTGTTAGAGTTAAGTGCCTCATGAGGGGAGGGAAGCTAATAAGCTAAATTTTAACATGTCAAACTTAATAAAACGTGAGGCTCATCACCCAAAGGAGCACAATGAATTTACCGTAATAAGAGAACAGCAGCTAGCAAGGCAGCTGAGCCTAGAGCAGTCCCCGAACAGGCAAAACTAGTTATAGGGCGATGATTTTTTAAGCTACAGCAATTACAAAGGAAATGAAAAAAATTCATAAAAGCAGCTGAATATCCACTTGGCAGGAAGCTTGAGATTTTACGGATCACCAGATGACATCATTTTAATGTGTGTTTCTGATGTTACATAATTTTAGAGGAATACAGACATTTGCAAACAGTGTTCTTTAAACGGAGACAACATTTTTGTGCACTATTATTGAAGTTACCCATCAGCCAAATGCCACACGTCATGCAGAGCCATCAGATTGCACAACACTCACTGCAAGGATCATCGAATTAGCAGAAATCACTCTCCTTAGTCAAAGTAGTGCAGTGTCAGTCAAGGATACATTTCTTTGCAGCTTTCACCATTAAGCGTATCGGTGTGATTCAAGCGGGAAAGATTTTACGTGAAAGCAACGACTGCCAAAGCAGCGTGGTTTGAAGTCATTAGACTTCAGAGGTTACGACTACAAAGTTTTAAAAATGACACTTGTGAGCATTTGTGAGTTTTATGGAAATTGACAAAACTGAGTTATGTGCTGATGCTCTTCCTGTTTTCTTTCATGGGAGTTAAACAAAATGATCCCTGTGTAAATGAAAATCGCTGCTTCCGTTTCTAATAGCAAGTGTTATAGTTGAAGCTTTTCTCACAACAGGGAGACAAACAGTAACACACCTCATTTTTTCATGAAGACCAATAAAGGAAATTTCAAATAAGAGAGACTTAATTGAGGAGCAAAGCTAGCAGAGTCCAGGTTGCCTACATGCAAACATGGTTTTCAGTTGTGTCTTTGAATGACTCTGCTTTGATGACTCTGTATCTGAACTTTTGCTTCATCCGGACAAAGCATTTGGACAAGCCTCCCTTTAATCCCCTTGGCTTGGACTTGGGTGTCCATGATTTAGAGGAGATAAAGACGGTGCTTTTCACTGTTCATTCTATTATAGTGTCTATTTACATCACTTTCTCAAAGCTTTTCTCCAGTTCTTATATGATCACACTCATTTTCCTCTCTCTGACCCTCCACCCCCACTATGCGGGCTCTGGTTGATCTAAGCATGTCTCCCAGTCCTACATGTCATCGTTTTTTCTTTGACACGGCTCTCCTCTCACATCTGCTTGGTATTCTAGAGTGGGAAGGCATGCACCATCGCAGATCCATCAGATCCAATCAGAATGCTGCACCATAGCTCGAAAAAATAGAGGGATGGGAAGAGAGAGCCGAGAAAAGAGAAAGAGAAAAAGAGAAAAGGGGAGGCAGGTCAGTGACTTGTCAACATCCTTCTGGGACTAAAGCATCAGACTGGCAGGGTGAAGGAGAGAGGCAGACAGAGGAAGGAACCGAAGAGAGCAAGAATAAGAGCACCTTTTAATTTCTAAGGGGCAACTTTTGCTAATATCCTTTCAAATCAGCCTCTCTGAGGAATACTAGGAGCATACAAATTCATATTCTCCATTTCTGATAGAAAAGTCAATAAGTACTACGCATACTTGTTTCCACCAAGCATATTTCTTTAGATTTGATGCATTTAGACTCCCTGTACTCTACTATAGAGACATTACTGATACAGATGTAGCCAATAAATGGATTTTTTAAAGACTGCACTGAATATGAAAAAGAAATAATGACAAATGTAGTGCATGTGTTATTTTACTTTTTTCTCACACAGCATGAAGTCTAATCAATTGTATTCATACAGCGCAGTGGCAAAAAAACACACTGTACATCGCATCAACTAAATTCATCATTCGTGTGTATTTGTCCACTAAATCACAAGAAAATGATCTAATGTCCTAGAAAAACTCAAGCAAAAACAGAAATGCTTTGAATTTCTCCAAATACATAAATAAACACACCAAGCAAATAAACAGACAAAGCTTATTTAAATTTTTAGGTTATGACTGAGGGATCTCAAGGTCCCTCTACAACAGCGGTCCCCAACCTTTTTTGCGCCACGGACCGGTTTATGCCCGACATTATTTTCACGGACCGGCCTTTAACTTGTCGCGGATAAATACAACAAAATAAAACTAGTACCGGTATCGAAAAAAAGAAGATTTATTCATAACACACGTGAAAAGACCCAGGAAAACCGAGTTAACGATAAAAACGATAACAAAATAACGCTGAAAACCGATAAAAACCCTGAAAACCATACATTTCACACCTGAGCCTCAACTCTCGCGGCCCGGTACCAAACGACTCACAGACCGGTACCAGTCCAAGGCCCGGGGGTTGGGGACCGCTGCTCTAAAGGTCCAGTATCTTATATTGGATTTAAAACCAAACTAGCACAATTTTTTAAAGGTAGCACGGCACATTCATTGAAGAGCCAGCCTAATTATTTAAGTCATGTACTCATTCCATCGATCTAATGACATCTTGATCGACCTTTGTAACCTTTCATATTTACCATATTAGGGACTCAGGTATATATCAGATTATAAAATCATCAAATCCTATATCAGTTGGACTGTAATGTGTCTTGAGTCTTGAGTTTTACAATGGAACAAACACACTGCTTGTCCAGGAGTTTCACTAAAAACCTTGGAACTCGCTACAATACACTTCATATAAACTGTTCATATTAAAAACCCTTATATTGGATTAAAAGCCTTCTTTTCTCAATAAGCCTTTATTGTGTAACAGTTGTTGGCATACTTTGCATTTAAATTTGGCAATGTGTTGCAGGGGACATGCATTTGAGGTCTGCTTTTTAAGAGATCATGTTGACCACGCCCCCAGACATTATCAGAGCTTAATAGACTGCCTGTTTTTATTTGAGGTGTTGGTATCATTGTAAGGCTTCTGACTCCACCTGCTTCAGCTAATCTCTATGCAGTACAGTACACACGCAGCTATTTATTCCTCATTCATCTGTAACGCATGTTTTTTTTCTATCATCAGCTCACTTTCCTGTCTTCAGCTTGTTCGTCATATTTTCCTTCTCCTGTCAGAGCGGAGAGAAAAGCCGACAGGCACATGCTGATCGTATCAATGTTTTCCCTTCATTTATCACCCTCTTTCTTTTGCTCTCTTCCTCTCAAAAGCCTCACAATCCTCTCTGTGTGTTCTCTTTCCTCTACAGCAGTGCGTTGCCTTGGTAATTACCAGTTGTCTTAAACAGACAGATGGAATAACAGAGAGTGACGGGCAATTTTCCCAGTGCCTGTTTTCCCCATGTATGTGTACGCAACCCCCTTTTTGTGTGTGTGTGTGTTTTGTGAGTATTCTTCTTTACTTGCTGCCACCTCTTCTTCCTCACCCCTGTTCACATGCACATTCCCAGTGAGCATGGCTGATGTGTGTTGTGTGAGTGTGTGCACAAGGGACGTGGGGAATTACCTGACAGGATCTGTTAGCGGAGGATGGGAGTGGGACAGTCTCATCTCCTGCTCTTGTGTTGGCCATTTGAGATGCCAGGTGTCACTCTGGACATCTGCGGGGGCCCCAGGAGGGATCACCGCTCTCCCCTTCTCTTCTCCTTCGATTCTTTCTTTAAATTATCAGGGAGGTGAGGGATGGAGGCACATATTGGATGAGGAGAAGCTGGGTGTCATGTTAGCGACTGATAAGTATTACTATGATATAATGAGTCATGTTTCTTTTTCAGGCCGGTATGATCAAGACAGAGAGAGAGGAGTTTTTTATCGAGCCAGTCGAGAGGGGCGATGGAGTGATAGAAGAGGAGGAGGAGGGGGGAGGAGGAAGGACACACATCGTCTATCGCTCTTCAGCCGTTAAGAAAGTGCCCATCAGCAGCGCAGCGAACGACTACCACTCCAGAGGTTAGTCTCTAGTTCTCATCGCACTGTCCTCTACTTTTGAAGCTCTTTAGGCACGATTCAGCTCTACACACTCTCCTCTCTTTTTATATCGGAGCTAGCCACACGTGGAAGTTATTCAGTAACACTGACTTCCAACTTAAGTGCAGGTCATTCACACTAAATTTTAAACCTGGATAAGTCGTGCAAGTGTTAGTTGTGCCATGGTTATGTTCTCAACAATACATGCTGAAGCACAACCCAAGCTGTTCTCCCATTAAATAAACTCTTCCCTAACGCTCACCTTGTTATATAATCATATCAACCTATTGTGTACAAAGACAGTGAGTCACAGTGCGAGCGTGCCTCACTGTCAAAAAGATTACACCTACACACCCTCAAACACATCTTGTCACTGCACTAATTTTCCAGTGAGGAAGGAGTAACATATGGAGACACACATGTGTGACTGGTGAGGTACCACCCTCTGTGTTCCTGTACAGAATTATGCACTGCCTTGGCTCCCTTAATAATTGACAGCTGCGTCTTAAGTCTTTTGTTTCTCATCGCGATTGCCTCCATTTTCCACTCTACAGATGAAATCAATAAACTGAAACAACAGGTATGGATGTCATTTTGGCGAGCAAAATATAAAAGTTTCCCATGTTGTGTCAGCTCACGAATTAGAGGAAGGGAAGATGAGTATATAGTCAAATACTCAATATTCTGAATATTATGATATAAATGTAAATTTATTGCCAGACAATGCAGCAACTAAAAGAAGAAGTTAGTCTGAAATTGTTTGAACTCCATCAATCGGTGGAGTTGAACACTGCACAGCTGCGGTGCTTTGGCTGTCCGGAGGCTCAATGTGCAACACAATAACCCTGTGATTACATGAGAAACATAATTTACGCATAGCTGTACATAAATGCTATAAACATGTTTATTCTGGTAATACTAGTCTGTGTACCTTGGCAGTGTGTTGCTCTTTGATCATGGTCATTTGACCACTCAGAAGAATGCTATTAATATGTTGTTTGACAGTGACCTTCAACCATATTAAATTTTCAAACACATTTAGATGCAAAAAGGTTTCTTTTTAAAGGTTGATGAGTGGTCAACCTTATTTAGCAATAGAATAATGCAAAAAAGATGATGGTTCATGTGGGGGTTGGGTTTAAAAAACCTTTACTGATGCAACCTTCCCACTGATCCCAGCTTGGTAAACTAGCTTGTGTTAACTCATATTTACATAGATCGTTGTGGAAACTTCACTCTTTCCACTGCCGTGTCGTGCTCTGTTGTTGTTGACCTTGAATCTAGCTTGACATTTTTCCAATCTCACTGAGTTTGCTCTCAACCACAGATACAATACTATTCAAAAGAGCTGAAGGTTTTAGATACATGAGTTTTTGAAAGGTCTACATCATCAAGCCATAATCCTAACCTCCTTATATGCTAACATAAACTAAACAAATAGAAACAAATATAGAAATTGATTCAGATTATTTATTTCTTTATTTTAATTGTAAAAAGGTTCAATAAACACGCCTGTTTCTAGTTAGTCATTCATATACTGACTAAAGCAAATGTAAAGCACGCATTATTGTCAGAATCTGCTGGGAAAGCTTCTTTCTTTAACGTCGTGTGAGAAATACTGTTTGTTATTTAGCAGATCTAAATCAAAGAAACTGCAAAAAGTCTGCAAAAAAGAACTGGACTAATTAGTCTGTTACATGTTACAAAAACCTACTAGTATTAAATTTGTTTGTTTTTGTTTTGTTTGGAGGTATGTGAGTATTTTTTTCACAAGGCCTTCTTGTTTTGTGCTATTACTAAAAGAATTAATCAAACAAAAATCGAAAAATTACCAGAAAATAGAGCGCCGCTATTGCTCTGCACGCCTCAGGCCCGCGTCAGTAGACGGGACCCTCCAGTTGCTCTCATTGATCTGATGTCTACAAGTTAATAAACTGACCAGTTCAAGAGTCAGTATCTCCCACGATCGCAAAAGTGAAAATAATTTCAAGGAAATTAAGCTGCCGCGCAGTTCAGGTGTGAGCTGAAGGACTTTATACTGAGTGCATTGCAATAGATGAGATCTGTGTCTTCCTATTCTGAGCAGTTGACTCAAGAATGTCTAATAATATACAGAGAGAGAGAGAGAGAGAGTTTCCATAGGAACACCCAGTGAGGACAGACTGCATTAGAGTAACACAGATCTGCTCCCACTGTTACTGATACCTGGCAGTACATCCACATACATACATGCATATGGGTTTACAAAAACGAAAGAAAGAAAGAAAAACTTTATGGAATCACACACATATACAACCACACACAGCTTACACAACTCCCTTGATCATACGTTTACACTTAGCCTTACACATAGGCACGCACAACATGTCTCACTGCTCCTTCTTGCTTTTGAATCTTTCTTTCTAATGAAGAGTGGGGTGCAGATCAATAGCGTAGGATAGAACAGGCTACTGTGCGAGCCCGTTTGTGTGTGTGTGCGCGTTTGTGTCTGTGTGCGTGTGTGGCGTGGGCATGAGTTCTGTGGTCGTCTGGCTTTGAGTGCTGGGATTTTCAAGGCTAAGCGGACAGACAGACTGACAGACAGACAGACAGACGAGCAGGCATGTGCTGCTCCCAGTAGCATTTGATGTGGATCGCTCTCTTTGTTTCTCTCTCTTTTTTCCTTTTTATCATTTTTGTCCTAGCTATTCTAGACCACAACATTATGTAAACACAAGGTTTACCTTCCAGTTGTTGCATCATATCGCTCAGCGCTATACAAGAAATGCAGTGTAGATCTTACACACAGATTCTTCTTCTCTCCACCTTCCTCAGGTTAAAAAGAAATCAATTCTTTCTTCTTCTTCTTCTTTTTACTTTCCTCTTGTATCCCCCTCATATTCTCTTTCCCAGACAATCACTCCCAACCTGTAGATCAATTGGGGACATTAGCAAATTAATTAATAATAGATCAATCATTTCTGAAGATCTCCTATGCCAGGCTTGTGTAATTCACAGCCAGATATTGAATGCTGGACTCATTTCCTGGCTAAAGACAGAGGGAAGGAAGTTATATTTAGCAAGGTAATAGTGGAGCTCAAGAAAGAGAGAGGGAGATGAAGAAGGAGTGAGATTGATCACTTTCTTACACCATAAGCTGAGGAAGGTGTAAATCAATGTCCAAAGTGGAGAGAGCGAGCTTTATTATTAATGTGACACATTTGTCAATTAATTGCTGGGGCAATAAAAAAGCAAAGGATTGCCGTATTTGTCTTCTTCTTTTTTTTTTTACTGCTGGGCGGGCAGAGCCCCATCTTTTAATAAGGCATTTCTTCCTCCCCAGTAATTTCATTTTATCTCATTTTATCTGGTTTTTGGTCAGTGCCCTTCTGTTCAGCTAATTTTCCTTAATCGTCTGCTCTCTTATACAGAGTTTGACTTTGCTTTGCTTACTTTATGCCCCAGACAAATTCCAGAGGCCAGCCTATAAGGCTGTAGTTGAATGTTTAGTCTTTGGAGGCAGGACTGTCTGTGCATGTGTTCCTCCAGCTGCATGCATGCAAGCATGTGTTTTAGTGCTACTGCAGTGTTTGTCCAGGGCGCTGAGACATGCCCAAACAGATGGACTACTGGAGGGCTTTTTCCCCATAACGCTCTTCACAAACTCTTTTACGTGTGCCTGAATCTCACATAAATATTCTTTATTAATGCTACTGTATCCTGCATTATTACTTAATTACATCGGATCTATTGCTTTAGATGATGCATTGCTCTAACATTCTGTTTGCGTGGTATCATTTGGTTTTATTTTGTACTTATATACATAATATAAATGTAATTCATTGCAGCTCTTGTGTTTTCCCTGACATTTCGTTCCCAAGGTTGATATTTTGTTCTCAAGGCAGAAAGGCTCCCTGCAACCTTGGGGGGAAATGCCTGCAATTAGCTGGTGGGCTGACACTGGGCGAAGGGCTGTGGCAGCTACACGGGGCTTTATACATGCATACAAAGCCTACATTTGTTTTACCCTGCAGGCGGTGATATTCTCTGTGTTCTCGCATGTTTTGTGCTGTACCCTAATCCGCTTTAGCGTTCAGGGCTGATGTGAGCTGTTGTTAGATTGGTGCTGTTGTGTTGTTCGTGTGCGCCACGTTGCACAGCGCCGATACGATGACGTGTCAGTCTTGCCCTGAGCTAAGAGGAAGTTGGAGAGGGTCAGACAGAGGCCAGTAGTGCTAGTCACTGTAGCTTAATGTCTGCCTCCCACATCCAGAAAATGAAGGAGGCTCCCTCGGGTCCCGCTCTCTCTCTGTATATCTTTCTTTGCCTAACTCTCTCACTTTACTCCTTTTTTATTTCCTTAAACTGCATCCCCTCCACCACTGTTGCCCCCACCTCTCCGTCTGCCGGTGTGACACATGGATAGTCATATGGTGCAAGGGTTTTAAGAGGCGACTCATGACTAAGCACTTAGAGATGTGAGCACACGCAACTCATAAATGGCCTGAACTCATCTTCAGCGTGTAACCGGGGCCCCAGCAGACACTTTGCATTATGGCGTGCCTCTTGATGGAAATCCCAAATAGCTACGTGAAATGCTGGGAAGGTCACATTCTCTCTTGCTTGAGTCATTTTTAACCCCTTTGTTTCAGACCACAAGCTTTAAATGCATGAAGAGAAAAAAAAAAAACGACTTCCACACAACCAAAGTCCCATTTTTTAACTTTTCCCCATGTGCTTGGATAAGTCCATACCAACCCTCTGGCTCCAAGCTATTACTCAGTTCATTAAGGCATTGTCTTTTCAACATGTTGTCATGATTTATGTCTTATTTTATTTAATAAAAACAAGCCCCTAGAAACAGAAGCCGTTCCTGTGAAACATGTGTTTAAGCTAAATCCTTAAAAACTCATTGTGTAACCACAGGGCTGACGGTGTCTGAAACACCAAATATTTGAACACTTAACACTGTTGATAATTTGCTAAGACCACAACTTTCTCAC